GATCACGAACCGCATGTCCAACGAATACTTCGTGGCGGTTCTCGAATGTCAAATATTCATAGACGATCGGCAGCATTGCTCGCTTTCGTCTTGCAGCAGCAGCACCGGCAGTGATGGCAGCAGCTCGCCGGCACCAGCCTACTCTGGCAGAGACCCAACACCGGCCCCGGCCGACGCTATTCTCGCTGGCACCAATGCCCCGGTGGCAGAGGAGAGCACCAGCGGTGGTCTTGCTGGTGATGCCAGCAAAACCGGAACGCACAGCCCATCGTGGACATGCGCCAGTGGTGCGGTCGGTGCTGCTTTTGGTGGGCTTGTCATGGTCGCCACCATGGTCTTTTTGTAGAACGCAGAATGTAATCGGTGTGTTTGATCTCTCTTGGTTGCCGACACATACCAAAACCTGCGCAGTAAAGGCACGCATCCATAACCAACAGAAACGATACATCCCTGGTCAATCCTGGCCAGGTTAGGTATAGCAGGGCGAATTGTGCAATTGCTGCGACGCCGAGCCGTCGGATTTGTCCAATGTTGAATAGTCAGCTACTGTGTTGGGGATTGAGTCAGATGGTTTACGGAGCCTGAGCTTCCCTTCCCTGTGAAGACCACTACTAATGTAGATCGCCCTTTACAGGGTAGCCGTGGTATGCGAGACAGTAAAATAAAATACGCCTATTTCACAACGCATTCCTACAGTAAGTATTTCCACGGCAGTGGATCCCGTGGATTCCGTAACGTAAATATGTATTATGGATATCCGCCGCGGAGAACTGTGATAGGGGGAAGGACCGCGAAAGAGACGACGGGAGAGAAAGAGGACGAATCGCTGTGAAGCGTGGGTCATTGTATGTGTGTAGGCTACAGACTATCTCGCATGTGTGTGAAACGGTGATACCGCTTGTTTCGGACCTTTACGCGTGCCTGGCGAAGGTTCACAAGCATCTACCCGCGTGAACGGAACTGTCTCCGTGATCTTGGATTTTAGGGCAATGGCGGTTCCACGTAGAGGTGGAGTTCGATTCCTCTCTCTAGAGAGAAGCACCACTAACTTTGCAACTTGCAGGGACACGATCTCTTCCACAGACGCAAGGACTTCGGTGTCACGGGCTACGGAAGGAAGAGGACGGCGGAACCCTTCCCTCAAAAATATATGCAGAGTGCCGCAGGAGGATGGGTGGATACGAAAATAAACGAAGGAAATAAGTATCAGAAATACTCCCGGTGTTTCCTTCTTCCTGTGGGGTCTTCCAGTTAGTTTTCCCAAATGACCCATGGGTGACCCATGGGTGGCCGATGGGCGGCCCATGGGCGGCCAATGAGAGCCCTTCAACCGAACCAAGGGTGGACTCCTAATATACGATAGATCTAGTGGCTAGTCTAATAACCCTGACGCTAACCGTAACCCTACCGCAAGCCCAGACGATACGTGCTAGGTTGGCGCTGGTGGCTAAGTGCTAGGTGGATGTAAACGTGGCTAAGTTCTCTAGGTTGATATGCCGGTGGCGAAGTTCTAGGTTGAAGTGTCCCATGGGCGTAACAAAACTGTCATTAACAAAACTGTCAGTAGTAGCGTGTGGGATTGCTTCTGTGTAAATCTCAACGATGAATCAGATTTATTCACCGAAAGGTGCGTGGACTGGCTCCAGAATAATCTATACATATAGTCTAGTTGCGATATCTAACTGGCATCCGCAGACAGCCATTCACCCACTCCCTCTGGTCCTCTGAATGGTCTTCTGTTTTTCACCACTACTTGTTCGACTGTGCGGCGTCGACCGCAGGAGGGGTATAGATCAATAAATATAGCAAGTTTGGTGAGGTACATGTAGCCGATGCACTACTGTTTATTGAAACCGTCGAATTTGCCAGAGGCGTCTATGTTCCTGTATTTCGGGGTATCAGAATGGAGAAGAGTATTTTGGACGTGGTCACTTTCTCGGAGAGTTCATGTGCAAGGAGAAGGCCTGCTGGACAGGCGTGCAATGGCAGAACTATACAAAACAGTAGTAAGTGGACTCAGAGAGAGGGATAACAGAATTCGCCAGGTTAGGAGGCCAAGAAACTGCGTTATTTCCCGCCCACCCGCCCTTTTCTTTCGAAGGTGAGGCAACGGAAGGAATTAGTAAATGGGGTAGAGTAAATGGTAGAGTATCATTGGGGACTTGGCAGTCTGAGAGGTTTCGTACAGTAGAAAGAGTTCCTCACATCGGTGGAAAGAGAATCCCCGGGCTGTTTTCCTAGGGGAGAGAGAGAGACAGTAGTACTGAGGGACAGAGACACGGTAGGACAGAGGGAGTCTGCGGAAACGTGTTCTGTCAGTGTAGTTTCTCTGTGTGAAGAGAAAATGGCAATTCGAAAGAAAAACAATGAATATCACTATCCCCAAGGGCGCACAATTTGTTTTTTTCCAACACCTACCCGACAAAACTTTTTTGAGACCTCTCCGGGGGGGCAGGGGGTACGAAGC